TATAAAAACAAAAGTCCGCTTTAGTTGTATGTATTTCAACAATCAATTGTAATCAGTTTTATTTATTTATAAATTGTTTATATTTATTTATTTCTTTTGTTGTTTGTACAAGTATTGTTAAGAATCGTTTTTAATTAAATAATTAATTACTGTGGATGAGTGTATTTTTAATATCATATTAAATAATAATGATTTCTTTTACTTTGTATTTATTTATGTATTTTTGTATTGACAATAAGTGTCAGAGGTTCTTCAAATATTTTCTGATGAGACCATACTGGTCGAAATGCGCTGAAGTAAAACTAAACTAGAACAGAACTAGATAGAGCTGAACTAGAACAGAACTAGATAGAGCTGAACTAGAAATGAACAAGAACTGAACTAGAACTGAACTAGAACTGAACTAGAACTGAACTAGAACTGAACTAGAACTGAACTAGAACTGAACTAGAACTGAACTAGAACTGAACTAGAACTGAACTAGAACTGAACTAGAACTGAACTAGAACTGAACTAGAACTGAACTAGAACTGAACTAGAACTGAACTAGAACTGAACTAGAACTGAACTAGAACTGAACTAGAACTGAACTAGAACTGAACTAGAACTGAACTAGAACTGAACTAGAACTGAACTAGAACTGAACTAGAACTGAACTAGAACTGAACTAGAACCGAACTAGAACTGAACTAGAACTGAACTAGAAATGAACTAGAACTTAACTAGAACTGAACTAGAACTGAACTAAAACTGAACTAGAACTGAACTAGAACTGAACTAGAACTGAACTAGAACTGAACTAGAACTGAACTAGAACTGAACTAGAACTGAACTAGAACTGAACTAGAACTGAACTAGAACTGAACTAGAACTGAACTAGAACTGAACTAGAACTGAACTAGAACTGAACTAGAACTGAACTAGAACTGAACTAGAACTGAACTAGAACTGAACTAGAACTAGAACTGAACTAGAACTGAACTAGAACTGAAACTAGAACTACTAGAACTGAACTAGAACTGAACTAGAACTGAACTAGAACTGAACTAGAACTGAACTAGAACTGAACTAGAACTGAACTAGAACTGAACTAGAACTGAACTAGAACTGACTAGAACTGAACTAGAACTGAACTAGAACTGAACTAGAACTGAACTAGAACTGAACTAGAACTGAACTAGAACTGAACTAGAACTAGAACTGAACTAGAACTGAACTAGAACTGAACTAGAACTGAACTAGAACTGAACTAGAACTGAACTAGAACTGAACTAGAACTGAACTAGAACTGAACTAGAACTGAACTAGACTGAACTAGAACTGAACTAGAACTGAACTAGAACTGAACTAGAATGAACTAGAACTGAAACTAGAACTGAACTAGAACTGAACTAGAACTGAAACTAGAACTGAACTAGAACTGAACTAGAACTGAACTAGAACTGAACTAGAACTGAACTAGAACTGAACTAGAACTGAACCTAGAACTGAACTAGAACTGAACTAGAACTGAACTAGAACTGAACTAGAACTGAACTAGAACTAACTAGAACTGAACTAGAACTGAACTAGAAATGAACTAGAACTGAACTAGAACTTGAACTAGAACTGAACTAGAAACTGAACTAGAACTGACTAGAACTGAACTAGAACTGAACTAGAACTGAACTAGAACTGAACTAGAACTGAACTAGAACTGAACTAGAACTGAAACTAGAAACTGAACTAGAACTGACTAGAACTGAACTAGAACTGAACTAGAACTGAACTAGAACTGAACCAGAACTGAACTAGAACTGAACTAGAACTAAACTAGAACTGAACTAGAACTGAACTAGAACTGAACTAGAACTGAACTAGAACTGAACTAGAACTGAACTAAAACTGAACTAGAACTGAACTAGAACTTAACTAGAACTTAACTAGAACTTAACTAGAACTTAACTAGAACTTAACTAGAACTTAACTAGAACTTAACTAGAACTTAACTAGAACTGAACTAGAACTGAACTAGAACTTAACTAGAACTGAACTAGAACTGAACTATTATTGAACTAGAACTGAACTAAAAATGAACTAGAACTGAACTTGAACTGAACTAGAAATGAGCAATTAAGTGAGCAATTATTGCATTTAATTATTTAAGAATCACTGCAGAGTTAATACAAATCATTTATTCCAATATGTGTTTGTTTTCAAAATTTATTTTATTTTATTGATTGATTTTGTTTTCTCTTCTTATAAATTAATAAATTTTATATATATATTTTGCTTCTATTTCTTTCTAATATTTTCAAAGAGTTTGATTAGTATTAGTTTTTAATTATTTTTATTGTTTTGTTTTAGTAATGTATTGAATATTATGGAATCCCATTCAGCCAACATTCAACAGTGTCTGACGAGTTGTTTATTTTATAGTAATTTATTTGTATTTAGTAAGACATTTAAAGCGATTAGAGAAGGTATTATTATTTATTTAACTTAAACGAATATAAAAAGTCAATAGAATATGAATAAAAAGTATATTTTATATTTATCTGTGCAATTAAAACTGGTAAAAATCTGCGAAATTTTACAATATTTTTAAAAATGTTTATAAAGTGTAACGTTTGTTAGTAATAACTTTATACACCAGTTATCAGAAATTTTAAGTTATTATGTTTTCATATAATTTGTTTTTATTTTCTAATCTAGTTTGTAACAAACTGTAGTTTAATATTTTAAATAATCGAAGTAAACTGTTTTATCTACATCTATTGCTATTATTATCTCCAACTAATTAATGTATTTAAAAATTTAAAATTGTTTCTAAATTCAACGTAATACATAATCCACCCGCTCATTGTATATTGAATTTGTTAAAACTAATATACATGTAGTATTAACTTTTTTTAATATTTGGTTTATATTGTTGTTATTGTCTTATATTGTCGTTGCTAAATATAAATTGCATTTATTACCTGTCTCTTTCTGAATAATAAGGTAATTATTAAAAAAGGGTGGTCCATATAAAAGCGGTTATTTTTTTAATTATTTCTTAGATGATTATCATTCAGCTCTAGCTCAGTTCTAGTTTAGTTCTAGTTCTAGTTCAGTTATAGTTCAGTTCTAGTTCTAGTTCAGTTCTAGTTCAGTTCTAGTTCAGTTCTAGTTCAGTTCTAGTTCAGTTCTAGTTCAGTTCTAGGTCAGTTCTAGTTCAGTTCTAGTTCAGTTCTAGTTCAGTTCTAGTTCAGTTCTAGTTCAGTTCTAGTTCAGTTCTAGTTCAGTTCTAGTTCAGTTCTAGTTCTAGTTCTAGTTCTAGTTCTAGTTCTAGTTCTAGTTCTAGTTCAGTTCTAGTTCAGTTCGAGTTCAGTTCTAGTTCAGTTCTAGTTCAGTTCTAGTTCAGTTCTAGTTCAGTTCTAGTTCAGTTCTAGTTCAGTTCTAGTTCAGTTCTAATTCAGTTCTAGTTCAGTTCTAGTTCAGTTCTAATTCAGATTCTAGTTCAGTTCTAGTTCAGTTCTAGTTCAGTATCTAGTTCAGTTCTAGTTCAGTTCTAGTTCAGTTCTAGTTCAGTTCTAGTTCAGTTCTAGTTCAGTTCTAGTTCAGTTCTAGTTCAGTTCTAGTTCAGTTCTAGTTCAGTTCTAGTTCAGTTCTAGTTCAGTTCTAGTTCAGTTCTAGTTCAGTTCTAGTTCAGTTCTAGTTCAGTTCTAGTTCAGTTCTAGTTCAGTTCTAGTTCAGTTCTAGTTCAGTTCTAGTTCAGTTCTAGTTCAGTTCTAGTTCAGTTCTAGTTCAGTTCTAGTTCAGTTCTAGTTCAGTTCTAGTTCAGTTCTAGTTCAGTTCTAGTTCAGTTCTAGTTCAGTTCTAGTTCAGTTCTAGTTTAGTTCCAGTTTAGTTCTAGTTCAGTTCTAGTTCAGTTCTAGTTCAGTTCTAGTTCAGTTCTAGTTCAGTTCTAGTTCAGTTCTAGTTCAGTTCTAGTTCAGTTCTAGTTCAGTTCTAGTTCAGTTCTAGTTCAGTTCTAGTTCAGTTCTAGTTCAGTTCTAGTTCAGTTCTAGTTCAGTTCTAGTTCAGTTCTAGTTCAGTTCTAGTTCAGTTCTAGTTCAGTTCTAGTTCAGTTCTAGTTCAGTTCTAGTTCAGTTCTAGTTCAGTTCTAGTTCAGTTCTAGTTCAGTTCTAGTTCAGTTCTAGTTCAGTTCTAGTTCAGTTCTAGTTCAGTTCTAGTTCAGTTCTAGTTGAGTTCAAGTTCAGTTCTAGTTCAGTTCTAGTTCAGTTCTAGTTCAGTTCTAGTTCAGTTCTAGTTCAGTTCTAGTTCAGTTCTAGTTCAGTTCTAGTAGTTCTAGTTCAGTTCTAGTTTAGTTCTAGTTCAGTTCTAGTTCAGTTCTAGTTCAGTTCTAGTTCAGTTCTAGTTCTGTTCTAGTTCAGTTCTAGCTCAGTTCTAGTTCAGTTCTAGTTCAGTTCTAGTTCAGTTCTAGTTCAGTTCTAGTTCAGTTCTAGTTCAGTTCTAGTTCAGTTCTAGTTCAGTTCTAGTTCAGTTCTAGTTCAGTTCTAGTTCAGTTCTAGTTCAGTTCTAGTTGAGTTCAAGTTCAGTTCTAGTTCAGTTCTAGTTCAGTTCTAGTTCAGTTCTAGTTCAGTTCTAGTTTAGTTCTAGTTCAGTTCTAGTTCAGTTCTAGTTCAGTTCTAGTTCAGTTCTAGTTCAGTTCTAGTTCAGTTTTAGATTAGTTCTAGTTCAGTTCTAGTTCAGTTTTAGATCAGTTCTATATAGCTTTTTGGAGTTTTATGTAATTAAACTGACTAATATTGTTTTCCCCTTTAGCTGCGGCAACATTTTTAGAAAGTTTAGATATTTATTATTTTGCAGTTACAAAGTGTAGGTGGATGACTGAGTTAATATGTACCAGTATTTAATAACTATAGCCTCCACCTTTGTTTCAACAAGTCTCCGTCTGAATTAATTTCAAATTTTTATGTAAAATAATTTAATTAACTTTTAACTAATTTTTTCATCCAAATTTCTTTTTATTACAGATTTTCCACAAAATTGTATAAAATTATCTACAAATTCTTGGTTTTCTAAAATAAGAAACAAAATTGGTTTTGCATGCATCAAACCAAAAACAAAAAACCACAATACTATTGCCAACAATAATAAAATCAACATATTTTTGCAACAGCCAACCAGTCGGTTTATATTTTTTTGTTTGTTTATTTGGTGGCAACGATTTTGCATTTTTAATCGTTTATTCCTGTTAAATGCAATTGGCGTTTAAAAGTCGGTCACGTATTTAGTGGCAACAAACAAAAAAAGGCAACAAAAATCAATCAAAATAGGCAGAAATAAAAAAGAAGGAGGAAGAAGACATTTTGCAAAATTTTACAATTGAGTAGTTGTGTGGTCATTATTGCTGTGAGCAATAATAACAATAGCCAGAAGTTTGTTTTTGTATATGCTGGACATCATTAAATAAACAAACACACACACACACGCCAGAGAGGGAGACCAATCACTACATTTGTCAATAGTTCGCGAAAATTGTTATACTTTCATTAGAGCAACCTCCCATCAACTGACCAAAAGCAAAATTAGAGGGCGTAAATGTTGAAAAATCTTCAATATTTTGAAAAACCTCGAACATTTTACAAAAGTTGCAATAATATTTTTACATTCACATAATTATTGTTCTACATGTGATTGCAATTTTGGAGCTAAATTCTAGTTTTATTGACTAGTGATTAGTTTTTTGTTTCTTTGTTAATCTCTTCGTTTTTAATTTACAACAAACACTATAATTTGTTGCTGTTGTTAAACTACTATTGATTACATTTGCTATTGTTGGCGCTTTGAACCATTTACATACCTAAACCCGCCTCAAAATGTTGGATGATGACAACAATGATTTGCTGGCTGCAGCTTCAGAAATACAACGCAGTAAGTCATATTTTAATTTAGTTTTATATTTGTTCTATTTTCTTAAATTAGTTTTTAACTTTATGATGTTGATAATCATATTTAACACTTGATTGATTATTTGTTACGTTTATTCAGCCGAAAGTGTTGAGTGTGGGAGGAGAAGCGGGAAAATTTATTTTAGTAAAAAGTTAATATTTCTTTTTATCAAAATACATATTACTTGCTTGTTTTGTGCTCCGTTTTGTTTTTGTTTTAAAATAATTCCATCATATTCCAACAATAATTGTTTACATCACGTTTCAACTTTTTATAGATTTATGAAAGCAAATACACTGAGAGAAATTTATTAAGAGGAAGAGAGCCATCTAGCTTCGTATTTTCCCACTCTATCGAGTTATCAACCGACAGACAGACGGATGTACGGACTTGCGAAGATCACCCAAGACTACACTATATACTTGACTATATACTAGACTATAGACTAGACTATAGACTAGACTATAGACTAGTCTATAGACTAGACTATAGACTAGTCTATAGACTAGACTATAGACTAGTCTATAGACTAGACTATAGACTAGTCTATAGACTAGACTATAGACTAGTCTATAGACTAGACTATAGACTAGTCTATAGACTAGACTATAGACTAGTCTATAGACTAGACTTTAGACTAGTCTATAGACTAGACTATAGACTAGACTATAGACTAGACTATAGACTAGACTATAGACTAGACTATAGACTAGACTATAGACTAGACTATAGACTAGACTATAGACTAGACTATAGACTAGACTATAGACTAGACTATAGACTAGACTATAGATTAGACTAAAACTAGACTGTAGACTAGACTGTAGACTAGACTATAGACTAGACTATAGACTAGACTATAGACTAGACTATAGACTTGACTATAGACTTGACTATAGACTTGACTATAGACCTTGACTATAGACCTAGACTATAGACTAGACTATAGACTAGACTATAGACTAGACTATAGACTAGACTATAGACTAGACTATAGACTAGACTATAGACTAGACTATAGACTAGACTATAGACTAGACTATAGACTAGACTATAGACAAGACTATAGACTAGACTATAGACTAGACTATAGACTAGACTATAGACTAGACTATAGACTAGACTATAGACTAGACTATAGACTAGACTATAGCCTAGACTATAGACTAGACTATAGACTAGACTATAGACTAGACTATAGACTAGACCATAGACTAGACCATAGACTAGACTATAGACTAGACCATAGACTAGACTATAGACTAGACTGTAGACTAGACTATAGACTAGACTATAGAACTATAGACTAGACTATAGACTAGACTATAGACTAGACCATAGACTATACTATAGACTAGACTATAGACTAGACTATAGACTAGACTATAGACTAGACCATAGACTAGACTATAGACTAGACTATAGACTAGACTATAGACTAGACTATAGACTAGACTATAGACTAGACTATAGACTAGACTATAGACTAGACTATAGACTAGACTATAGACTAGACTATAGACTAGACTATAGACTAGACTATAGACTAGACTATAGACTAGACCATAGACTAGACCATAGACTAGACTATAGACTAGACCATAGACTAGACTATAGACTAGACTGTAGACTAGACTATAGACTAGACTATAGACTAGACTATAGAACTATAGACTAGACTAGACGACTAGACTATAGACTAGACTATAGACTAGACTATAGACTAGACTATAGACTAGACTATAGACTAGACTATAGACTAGACTATAGACTAGACTATAGACTAGACTATAGACTAGACTATAGACTAGACTATAGACTAGACTATAGACTAGACTATAGACTAGACTATAGACTAGACTATAGACTAGACTATAGACTAGACTATAGACTAGACTATAGACTAGACTATAGACTAGACTATAGACTAGACTATAGACTAGACTATAGACTAGACTATAGACTAGACTATAGACTAGACTATAGACTAGACTATAGACTAGACTATAGACTAGACTATAGACTAGATAGACTAGATTATAGACTAGACTATAGACTAAACTATAGACTAGACTATAGACTAGACTATAGACTAGACTATAGACTAAACTATAGACTAGACTATAGACTAGACTATAGACTAGACTATAGACTAGACTATAGACTAGACTATAGACTAGACTATAGACTAGACTATAGACTAGACGACTAGACTATAGACTAGACTATAGACTAGACTATAGACTAGACTATAGACTAGACTATAGACTAGACTATAGACTAGACTATAGACTAGACTATAGACTAGACTATAGACTAGACTATAGACTAGACTATAGACTACACTATAGACTAGACTGTAGACTAGACTATAGACTAGACTGTAGACTAGACTGTAGACTAGACTATAGACTAGACTGTAGACTGGACTATAGACTAGACTGTAGACTAGACTATAGACTAGACTGTAGACTAGACTATAGACTAGACTATAGACTAGACTATAGACTAGACTATAGACTAGACTATAGACTAGACTGTAGACTAGACTATAGACTAGACTATAGACTAGACTAGACTATAGACTAGACTATAGACTAGACTATAGACTAGACTATAGACTAGACTATAGACTAGACTATAGACTAGACTATAGACTAGACTATAGACTAGACTATAGACTAGACTGTAGACTAGACTATAGACTAGACTAGACTATAGACTAGACTATAGACTAGACTATAGACTACACTATAGACTAGACTGTAGACTAGACTATAGACTAGACTGTAGACTAGACTGTAGACTAGACTGTAGACTAGACTGTAGACTAGACTATAGACTAGACTGTAGAGAGACTGTAGACTAGACTATAGACTAGACTAGACTATAGACTAGACTATAGACTAGACTATAGACTAGACTATAGACTAGACTATAGACTAGACTATAGACTAGACTATAGACTAGACTATAGACTAGACTATAGACTAGACTATAGACTAGACTATAGACTAGACTATAGACTAGACTATAGACTAGACTATAGACTAGATATAGACTAGACTATAGACTAGACTATAGACTAGACTATAGACTAGACTATAGACTAGACTATAGACTAGACTATAGACTAGACTATAGACTAGACTATAGACTAGACTATAGACTAGATTATAGACTAGACTATAGACTAAACTATAGACTAGACTATAGACTAGACTATAGACTAGACTATAGACTAGACTATAGACTAGACTATAGACTAGACTATAGACTAGACTATAGACTAGAATAGACTAGACTATAGACTAGACTATAGACTAGACTATAGACTAGACTATAGACTAGACTAGACTATAGACTAGACTATAGACTAGACTATAGACTAGACTATAGACTAGACTATAGACTAGACTATAGACTAGACTATAGACTAGACTATAGACTAGACTATAGACTAGACTATAGACTAGACTATAGACTACACTATAGACTAGACTGTAGACTAGACTATAGACTAGACTGTAGACTAGACTGTAGACTAGACTATAGACTAGACTGTAGACTAGACTATAGACTAGACTGTAGACTAGACTATAGACTAGACTGTAGACTAGACTATAGACTAGACTATAGACTAGACTATAGACTAGACTATAGACTAGACTATAGACTAGACTGTAGACTAGACTATAGACTAGACTGTAGACTAGACTGTAGACTAGACTATAGACTAGACTGTAGACTAGACTGTAGACTAGACTATAGACTAGACTATAGACTAGACTATAGACTAGACTATAGACTAGACTATAGACTAGACTATAGACTAGACTATAGACTAGACTATAGACTAGACTATAGACTAGACTATAGACTAGACTATAGACTAGACTATAGACTAGACTATAGACTAGACTATAGACTAGACTATAGACTAGACTATAGACTAGACTATAGACTAGACTATAGACTAGACTATAGACTAGACTATAGACTAGACTATAGACTAGACTATAGACTAGACTATAGACTAGACTATAGACTAGACTATAGACTAGACTATAGACTAGACTATAGACTAGACTATAGACTAGACTATAGACTAGACTATAGACTAGACTATAGACTAGACTATAGACTAGACTATAGACTAGACTATAGACTAGACTATAGACTAGACTATAGACTAGACTATAGACTAGACTATAGACTAGACTAGACTAGACTATAGACTAGACTATAGACTAGACTATAGACTAGACTAGACTAGACTAGACTAGATAGACTAGACTATAGACTAGACTATAGACTAGACTATAGACTAGACTATAGACTAGACTATAGACTAGACTATAGACTAGACTATAGACTAGACTATAGACTAGACTATAGACTAGACTATAGACTAGACTATAGACTAGACTATAGACTAGACTATAGACTAGACTATAGACTAGACTATAGACTAGACTATAGACTAGACTATAGACTAGACTATAGACTAGACTATAGACTAGACTATAGACTAGACTATAGACTAGACTATAGACTAGACTATAGACTAGACTATAGACTAGACTATAGACTAGACTATAGACTAGACTATAGACTAGACTATAGACTAGACTATAGACTAGACTATAGACTAGACTATAGACTAGACTATAGACTAGACTATAGACTAGACTATAGACTAGACTATAGACTAGACTATAGACTAGACTATAGACTAGACTATAGACTAGACTATAGACTAGACTATAGACTAGACTATAGACTAGACTATAGACTAGACTATAGACTAGACTATAGACTACACTATAGACTAGACTGTAGACTAGACTATAGACTAGACTGTAGACTAGACTGTAGACTAGACTATAGACTAGACTGTAGACTAGACTATAGACTAGACTGTAGACTAGACTATAGACTAGACTATAGACTAGACTGTAGACTAGACTATAGACTAGACT